GTGAATGCTCCAACACTGGAAGTTTTAAAGAAGAGATTGGACAACCATTTGTCTGAAATGGTATAAGGTTTCCTGCTTGAGCAGGGGGTTGGACTGGAAGATCTCCAAGATCCCTTCTAACTCTGTTATTTAAAATATCCACCTGTTCCCAATAGCCTGAGGCCATTGTGAATAATATCTCATCATAGCTTCTTAAGGTGGCAAGATAATGTTTCAGATTGAAAGCTATCAACCCTCCTTGCACCACATACAGGAGGAGTCAATAAGATGTTAGCTTTTTGGATCTACTGGGAGCAAAATTCCCATTTTTTTTCTTTACATTAGGTGGTGGCTGGTGTCTTTTTTTCATATTTAGTAGCCTTGTGTGTTTTTTTCTTTTGCATCTAAAGTTGAACCTCTCTTAGATATCAGGATTTATTTATTTATTTACACTGGAATCTGTCTTCCTGTAACTTAAATCCATCCCATGTTTGGAACGCAACAGTGAGCAAGTCCATGCTTTCTTCTACATTAGAGCCTTTAAGACAGTTCTTAAACATGGATAATTATCTCCAGAGGGGTAATTTGGGCTTATCTTGGGAGTAATGGAGCAGTTTGCAATTGATTGTGAGTTAAAAATCCAGTTTGGAAATGTTGCTGAAAAGCTGTATTGTCTGTATTTTTCTGTGTTTGTGTGAAGGCAGTAATGGCATTATTCATGACCAGGAAAAGAGGTCATTGGGCCACACAGTTTAAGAACCACTACTTTAAGGTGTTTGAATGTTACTATCATCCTGCTTCCCATCATACTGAGAAGCTAGAGACCATCAACCTCAGTCTCTCTCCCTGGAGAACTTCGCTTCTTCCAGTTTCTTTGAATCAGATCCAATATTTAAGACAGAGTCTGCTTGATGAGTGCAAAATACATCTAGTTCCATCTAGTTCTGTGTCATCTGTGTCAATTTAATAAACTCTGACTCCACTTTTTCATCCAAGTCAGTAATGAAAAGGTTGATGGAAATTGGGCTGAGCAGCTGAAGCCTATCTGATATACCACTCTAATTTGATGAAAAACTGCTGATGACTATGCTTTGAGTAGCAGTTTCAAGCCATCTATGGACCTACTTACGCCATCCAGCCTACATTTAACCAAATTGCTAGCCAGAACGTTGTATGATATTCTATTATTTGCTTTGCTCCCTATTATTTTTTCTGAGGCTTTACTAAATAAGGAAACAGTGCTACTTCAATGAATCCAGGCCTGGAAGTCAAAAATTCAGAATTAAACAGCTGGGTGTTGAAAATGAGAACAAGAAATCTGCAATCCGCTAAACTATGCAGTTGTTTATCTCTCTCAAGGGCCTTATTTATAGCGTTCCAGAATTGTTGGCCTTCTTCACAGGAGACCTGAAATGACCCTTCACAATTATTGGGGAAATTGATTATTTTCTATCCCACTTTCCTGCTTCTTGATCCAGAAGCAACAAGATCAACCAGTTCCTTTCCTTCTTCTTTGGGTCTGCAATAGAAATATCAGTAGAACTACTCATAGGCTTTAAGCCAAAAGTGGAGTGTAATGCCTTGAAAACCAATATGCACTGAGTATGTGTGTGTATTTAATCATTAAACAGCCTATGAATTTGAATTTGAGAACATAGTTCTGGCAGCTGCAGGGTTATAGCACTACTTAATGCACAGCAGTTCCTAAGGCACGTTAGATCCAGATAGGATGATCTAGTACTGTTTCTACCAAATTTAAATCAAGCATGCAGGAACTGGACAATTTTTATTATGGTAGAGCTGGGCAGGTAAGAAGAAAATGTTCAATATTTCTTCCCTTCCCTTCTCTTCCCTTCCTCCCTTCCCTCTCCTCCCCTCTGCTCCTCCTCTCCAGTCTCTTACTGCTTTTCTCTCAATAGAAATTAGAGCCTCACCAGGAAAAAACAAAACCCTACAGAGAAGAGCAAGCATTAGTGCGTTTGTTTATAGGATTCTGGTTTTAGCTTTGTTCTCACTATGGACTAAGATCTCAAGCTCATCAGTCAGACAGGAATCAGCAGGATAATTATCTTGGAAGCCAATTTATGTTCCACATCACGCTAAGAATAAACTATGGACTTCATAAAGCAAAGTAGTCTCTAAATCTACAACAGAAAACAGGTTTTCTGATTCACATTGCTCTATCAGCAGCAACACCTAAAATAGATTTTATTAAATGTATTTATTTATTAAATTTGTTTGCCATCCATCTCACCACAATGATACCTAAATAAGGTTGTTAAGAAATCTAGTTTTAGGAAAACCAGAAGTAGGGTTGGGATGATCTGCCATATTATAGCCCAGTGATGGCGAATCTTTTAGAGATCGAGTGCCCAAACTGCAACCCAAAACCCACCTAGATGGTTCCGTCAGACAGATGGTTCCGTCCCAGGCGACTGATGGACCCTGAAAGGTTCCTGA